GTCCTTGCTCCTAGTAGCGATGCCAGGAGCCCCTAGTAGCGTCCTTGCTCCTAGTAGTGATGCCAGGCCCCTAGTAGCGTCCTTGCTCCTAGTAGCGATTCCAGGAGCCCCTAGTAGCATCCTTGCTCCTGGTAGCAATGCCTCGTTTCTTGGCGCACCTTGCTTTCGCGGCCTTTCGCACCGCGAGAGACCGGCCCTTCTTTTCCGTCCTATCGCAAAGCAATCAGTGACAACTTGTCATTGTGACGTAAACGAATATGAAAAGGGTCTTCCAAGAACGCTGCACTAACCTTCAAGCACATCAGAGCATCCTCTGCCTTCTTCATGGCACACTCCTCTCCTGGCTGCTCAACCGAGCAGCTGCATTCAATATGGAGCAAAACAAATGCACCGTTGATGTATAAGTATCCTGTCCGCTTGCTGTGCAGCTCGCCGTGCGAGGAGGCAGCACTGCACACCTGCCAAAGCTTGTGTGTCCGCCCCTTCTGGGGGGTTGAGAAGCTTCAAGTAGAAAATCTGGATAAAGGCGCTCTTCGCCACCAAGAGAGCTAAATGCCTCAAAACCCGTTCAAGTCAAACGAGCTCAATCTTTCGAGTCGTTTCTGGCGCACCAAGCAGACACTGGGTCCACACCGTCCGTAGACGTTGAACCTCGGACGGGGCGGCAAAGCAGTCACTTAGCTGTAGCCGCTCAGCCACTTAGCAATGTGTTTTAGTGTTCATTGGAAAGGCTATGTTGAGTGGAACCGACGTTTCTGCGGAAATCAAGACTTGTCTGATTGCAGTTGGGCCACCGGCACAGTGCAATGTACAACATGTGTAAAGAACTGCACATGTTCAAAGCTGTCGCGAAGAAAGCGAACTGCAAGAATGCGAAGCAGTCTAAGACCTAGACCCCACAGGCCCTTAGAGGCCTATCGAAGCTTGAGCCAACGGCGGATGTCCTACCTGAGGCCATCGTCAGCTAGTCACCGCTAGTCTGCTAAATACCTAGTAGCGTCCTTGATCCTAGTAGCGATGCCAGGAGCCCCTAGTAGCTTCTTGTTACTAGTAGTAGGGCCAGGAGCCCCTAGTAGCGTCCTTGCTGCAACTATCACCAAGACTTCTGAACTTTGGAAAAGGGCTAATCTGTCTTAGCTGCTTCTCACATTAAACCCATAGTTTTCTCACACCCTGCGACATGTGATGCCAGGAAGTGCGCCATGGCTAATCACCAGGATTCTCAGCTCAAGCCTTGCACTCCTCCTGAGTAAAAGCCCTCAGGTCTGGCTTTGACTAGCCCTTCCTACTAAAATGAATAAATTCTACATTATGTCCTCGCTAATTACATCTTACAGCCTTAGTTTGGTCGGTGCAAAACACTCCGCCCTACCACTTAGTATATGCTTCTTGATCTTGAGAAGCTTGGTCTGGTCGGTGTGGCCTCTGCTCGAAATCCCAGGTGATGGCCAGGCTGCAACCAGTTGAGGCTCAGATCCCGCATTTTAGAGCGCCACAACAGGCTGCGAGGGTCACCACACTGGGTCAATGCTTTGAATGAGATTCTGAAGAGATTCCAAAGCCAACAGGTGGCCATTTGTGCGGCTTTTCTGAGGGCCCTCAAAGACATTACCAAATGCCGGGAACAATTGCCCCGGCAAAGCACCAATTGTGATCGATGCTTGTCACTGGACTGCCGTGACATGAGCACTCATGGTCTTGGCCGCAGCATCCATCACATGACTCAAGGACTTGAAGATTTGACCTCAAAGTGCGCCATTTGTGTCCTTGTCGCTTTGTTTCCTTTGCGTTTCACAGATTCTAAAGGCCAACCACCTTCCAGCGGAAAGGAAGCCCAATCGTTAGAACCCTCTCGTTCCTTCTTGCTACCAGAGGAAAGACTTAAAAGATCTTCAGTTTCCCAAAAAGTCTAGTCTAGTCTTACTCCCAGCTACTTAAGCGTACTGAAAAGAAAAAGGAAACCTTGGATTCTGCAAAAACTGGTCTTGTGGTGTGAATTCTGAAATCTATCCCTAGTAGCGATGCCCTTTGTTCCTAGTAGCTTCTTGTTACTAGTAG